AAAATAAATAAACGTTGAAAAAAATAAAAAAAATAAAATAAAATGCTTCCTCCATCCAGCATGGGGTGGGATTGAAACTTTCTCCTACAGTGACTATAGGGGACAGACTTAGAAGGCTAGAGATCTTTTTGGGAGGCTGAGAGGGAATGCCCTGAAGTCTACCTGCCTCGGTTACCCTCTGTGTGACTGTGGGCCTATGACAGCCTTTAAAAGCCTCAGCATCCTCATCTGTAACATGGGGAGAATAGTGGAGTTACTTCATATGGTCTTTATGAGGATTCAATACAATAACGTATGTAAAGAGAAGGCTTAACACAGTGACTTGCATACAGTAAGTGCTCAATAAGTCAGCCATTCTCTTATTCCAGGTCTGAAGTCCTAGGTTTCTCTGGAGGCTCTAGGATTCCTGGGGGTGCTAGGCCTTGCAAGCCCCCAGTCCAGCTCTTTCTTCCTCTCGGGTCAGTCTTGAAGAGGGACACGATGAAAGCCGTCCTTACCCGCGCACCTCTGTGCTCTGGCTGCTGTGTGCCTCAGCACTGGCCCTCCTCAGAGCCTCCCTTTAGTGGGTACTTCCGTCCCAGATTAACCAGAGGCCAGCCCCTCCCTGCCCCTTCCCCCAACCCCGACCCCACCCTGGAGTCCAAAGAAACCAGGGAAGAGGGCCTCACAGCTGGAACGCGCTCCCTCTCAGCGGAGTATGCTGGAAGAGGCCTGACTTTGCAGCCAGTTCATACGTGCTGAATTACACTCTGCTGGATGCCAGCTGGTGATCTTGGGCAGGTCAGCTTCTTCTGCCCCAGCTTCCTCATTTATAAAAAAGCAACAGAGGATTACTTCTCGGGCTAAAGTGATAAGGAACTCAGTGACTTGGCTACACGTATGGTATCTAATAAATGTTTGTTGAATGAATGAATCAGTGAGTGAGTGAGTGAGTGAGTGAGTGAGTGAACGGATGCTCTGTGTTTGCTGTTGTCAGCTGTCCTTGAAGGGAGGCATTTGGGGTGGGGTGGGGCAGGGACAGAGGCCACATATGTTGTTTATACCACCACCTTCTCCCTACCAAACCTTTTGACCACGCCCTTCAAACTTGTGGGAGGTTGCCTTTTCAGCTCTGCCACCATTTTGGTCCTCGCCGGGCTGTGGGGCTGAGCTCAAGAGACCCTCTTCCCCACTGAGAGGAAGGGGGCAGCGTGAGAGTTAGGTGACTTCCCCACAGGCCCTAGCCCTTGAGGGCAGGCCAGGCCCAAAGGACTAAAAGACAAAGCTCCGAGCTCTGGCCAGTTGGCAGGAGATTTGTCGGGATGCAGAGATTTCAGGTTGAAGAGGCCACAGGGGGATGGGTGGAGAGAAGGACATGGGGGCATTTCTGCCCAGTGCCCTGTCAGCCACGGCAGACTGAGGGGCTTGGGGTCACGTGAGGGGAGGGATCCAGCGGTCCTCAGCAGGGCCTGGATACCTTCTTTGTGCTCTTGGGCTGAGTATTGGGTCAGCCAGGGCCACGAACGATCCGGGGAGTCAGAAACCCAGGGCTCTGCCTGGTGAACTTGGAGGAGTCGCTCCCTGCTCTGAGCCTTAGACTCCTCAGCTGTAAAATGGGCCATATCTACCTTCGAGTTGGGTGGACCTCTCCTGGGTTAGTGGGTGTGAAAGCAGTGCCTCATCTGGGCTGTCCTCCAGGAGCCACACAGGGTGTGAGAGAATGAGGCAGTGTGGACAGAGTGAGGGCTTTGAGGTTGGCAGACCAAGTTCAGAGTAGCCTTGAGGCTGGCCGTTTCACCTCTCTGAGCCCCCTGGTAAAATAGTAATAAAGCGACGTGCGCGTTAACATGGACGTGCCCGCTCCTCTGCTGAGTGCTTTGCAATTTGGCCCTCACGACGGTGCTTTGAGGTCTGTACTGCCATCAGCCCTGTGTTACAGAGGGGAAACTGAGGCTCTGAGAGCTTGCCTCCCTTGTTTGAGGGCACACAGGTAGAAAGTGGCAGAGCCAGAATTCAGACCGGGGCAGCTGGCTCCAGAATGCACCTGCTTCACACACCCCCCCGGCTGCTCCATTAGACCTGCCCGGTGGGGTTTGAGGATGAAATGAGACCGTCCAAAGTGTTAGCCCAGGGCCTGGCCCTTGGTTGGTGCAGGGCAAATGTAACATGCTGTCCTTTCTAACCAGCCTGGTGCTCAAATCCTCCTATCTTCCAGGGCCCTGGGGCTGTGTTTCCACAGGGATTGGGGCACCTTCCAGCCTACTCCTGCCTCACACCCCTGTTCTCTCTCCCTCTCACCAGGATGTAGCCACCATGCAGTTCTGTGCCAACAAGCTGGACAAGAAAGATTTCTTTGGGAAGTCCGACCCCTTCTTGGTGTTTTACAGAAGCAACGAGGATGGAACGTAAGTTCTCTAACAGCACTTCACCCCCTTTCGGGAATCAGGGATGGAGGGGTGTGGTGACCCGCCAGGCAAGAGGGCTTGGGCCCGCCTCTTC